AAAAAAGAAAATAGGAAAAGAAAAATAAAAACAGGGGAAAAGAACATAAAAATAAGAAAAAATAGGGAAAAATGAAAATGAAACTAGGGAAAGAAAAGAAAAAAATTTAAAAAGAGAGAAAGATAAAGACAACAAAAGTCAAGCCAGCAATTTATCAGGAAAAAGGGACCCTCATCAGAATTTTTTACAAAAGCTCAAGCACATACATATGTGAGCTCGGAACTACAGAGTTTAAAGGAGCATTTCCAATCTGTCCTGTACTTCTCTCTCTCTCTCTCTCTCTCTCTCTCTCTCTCTCTCTCTCTCGTTCTCACTGAGAATGTTAAAAGGCAGTTTTGTTTAGGTTCTTTGATGAGTGATTTTATTTTCTGCTTGACAATGTGACTGAAATCAATCATAGCTTTTGTCTTTGGAGGCATGTTTTGCAAAAGACTGGAGATGCACCCTCAGAAAGCTTCTGGTCTTAGTTGTCTTTCTGCCCTTGAGATGGCTGAGATTTGGTTCTCGTACTTCAAGCAGTTCTCTTTGTGGCTACTGCATTCCAAGACAGACGTTCTAGGGCTGCGGGTTTCCCCCTCTCTCTGACTCTTCTAGAGTGAAGCTGACCTTCACTTATCTCTGGGCCACATTCTTTTTTAAAAAAACTGGTCTGGATTTGGCCCTTGGACTCTTAAAGAATAAATGTAAATATTTTAGTTCAGATTTATCAGCCCTCCTACCCTTAGGCAGAACTGGAAATTAACTTCTTTCACTGCCCTCTCCCTTTAGGCGTGCTGCTCCAGGAGGAAAACTGCCTGGCTTTTACAGCATAAGTATGTTTATGGATAAAACAAAAAATATGCCTAGGGACCCTTAGGAGTTTATTAACAGTTTTAAACAGAAACAGGATTATTCCAATAAGATAAACCATCAGCTTAAATCCCTTCTTAATAGTCTTCTTTCATAGGTGTAAAAGGTTTTTTTTTTTCCTTCTGACTCTTATTACAGGAGATTTCTGCTAATTGATGACCTATAGGAAAAGTTCTGACTAGTCTGTGTACAGTTACAAACCTAAAAACAACAAAAAAAATTATTTTAGTTCAAGTTGGCCAATATATCTAAGAGCCCATTCAGGTTTGAAGATAGTTGTTATGTGTGTTTGTATGTTTGTCCATCTCTTTGTTTAATATGTGTTAATAATTTGTTAAAGTACCTACAGCTGCTTCATTTAAGAAAAAAATTTTAAGCTCAACAATTTATTTTTATTTTTATTTTGGTTCTTTTTGAGATTTCCATGGAAAAACTGTTTATATAGTTTTCTTAGGGTAATCAAACTTATTTAAAACATTACTAGATAAAGACTGACAGATTTGAGGCTTACATAGGAATAAAAGCCTTAAAGTTTGATAATATAAAGGTAAGGTTTGATAATATAATATGATTTAGATTAATATGTATATGTTTCTATGTGTTAACTTTCAGGTATATATCATTATCCTCCAAAAGTTCTACTTCAGTTGGTTTATAGGTAAACACTCAAGATATTATCTCAAATGTCTGTGGTTCATATAGTTAACAGTAGGCTAATTTAAATCAGTTGGTAAGAGTAAAAATATCTTTAAAGTTGGTAACATATTTTCATCCAAGTTCTTAGGTAACTAACATAATATCAAAAATCAGTTTTATCAATACGATGTCTATTATTGCCTGTGTACCATAATTTAAGAGATTTTTCTTGGTTGGAGATAATATAGAATAGCTTTAAGTAAGTGTTATCTGTTATGATGGTTCATCTAAAATAATTGTTTTTAGCTATAATTGAAATGTTAAGTTTTCTATGTCTAAAACAATATGGTTTTCTAAAAATATTGAGATGGTCTTGGTTAAACTTACAAAACTAAATTTAAAAGCAACCATTCTATATTTCACTAAAATAAATTTCTTATGTTCTCATCATTAGGCTTTTGGTTACTAAAACATGAGCTTCAAGAGTTAAAGAATAAATGAATGTTAACCTATAAAAAGTATTCACTAATCATTTCATGATTGATTAAATAAACAACTATTATCTCGGTTTATGACAATATATATTCACTTCATGATTGATTAAATGAACAACTATTTTCTCAGTTTAGGACATAATATAATATTCACTTTATGATTGATTAAACAACTATTATCTCGGTTTATGACATAATATATATTCACTTCATGGTTGATTAAATAAACAACTATTATCTCAGTTTATGACATAATATAATATTCACTTCATGATTGATTAAATAAACAACTAATATCTTGGTTTATGGCACAACGTATATTTGGGCATATATGAATATATACATGTGAAAAAAAAGCTATGCTGTGAGTGTAAGCTTTAAAGTTAAATTTGTAGAGTTAAGACTACAAAAGTTTAATACATACAAAGCATAGTGCTCTCTGTTACACAATGTATTTTTAGACCTTAAACATATAAAATGATCAAACTTTGACATCTCTTTAAATTTGATCTTGGGCTGGGGATTGAGCTCAGTGGTGCAGAGCCTGCCTGGCAAGTGCAAGGTCCTGAGTTTGATTTCTAGTACCAAAAAAATAAATACAAATAAATAAATAAATAAATTTGATCTTGACATTTAAAGTTGATCTACTTCTATTGGCTTTGATTAAACAAGCATTTTTGTTATTGTATAAGTGAGATACACTTGTACATTGTGTAATAAGTTTGTTTGTGGTCATTAACTATCTCCAAAATTTATCAAAACTGTAAAGATGTCTTTCATTCTTTTCAATATAGTTATGCCTTATAAAACCTGTTAGGAGAGTCTAGAGCTTGTCTTAAGAGTAAAAATTAGATATATGTAAAGATTTATATATAACTATGATACCAATTGTTATATTTTAACCTCATGGTATATTAAGTTTTATATTTGTGCTTCCCAAGAAAGATACAAAACTAAAAAACTAATAATAACAAAAACAAAAAAACTACTTCACATTGATGACCTACAGTGATTAATTTTTTTTTAGGCTCAAACAAAATAAAACTTTCCCTTATTTGTGTTTCAGCTGTTTGTGATGTACATGTACATGTCAGTCCAGCATGATATAACCAGCCAGACAATGTTTCATGCTTATGTTTATGTGACTGCTATGTAATTATGATATCAGTTAAAGATACTCAGACACTGTGCAGTTCAGGCAACATCACTCTAGAAATTAAAAGGTTAGAGGTTAATAACTTATAAAGTACATCTATAGATAATTACATTCTATTTAAATGTCACTGTGGTAGCAGAGGATGGTTAAAAATAATAAATTAGGTTAGTTTCCTTATGCTGTTTAATATTTTGTAATTAGATAAAGGTAAATGACTAAAGAATTATTTTATAGTAAAATGGAGATGAAATGGAGATTGAAATGGAGATTAAATACTAAATAGAGTTTTAATGTTTCAGATATAATAATGTCATCATACTTGTGCTAAAATATTATGCTGTGAAACTTTATAATTGTTATCTATTAACATTTTTATGGAAACTCAACTTCTAAGACAACCATGATTGATAAAATCTACTCCTCAGGCAGGAGTAAATCCCATGTTTTAAAAGGCAAAGAAATTTGGCAGAGATGTGACTCACTATGAATCTTTTGGCAAACCTAAATATATTCATTTCTCTGTTGATACCTACTGTGCAGGACTTGGTGGCTCTAGAACTCCATGCCAGATTCCTTTTAACCTGCATCAGCCCGGGGTGTCAAAGGGCCACCATACAGCTCTTTATTCTTGACCTACTGGTCACCTTCTCTAGCAAAGATTCACTATTTAAAACTCAATTATTAAAACAAAAAGGGAGGAATACAATAAGAGAGACCTTACCCACAGGAACAATTATATAACCCCTGCTTTTCTTTAAATTTTTAAAGTTGTGACTCAGATGGCTTCACAGCATTGGAAAAATATTTTATTCCCACAAAGGATAAACCTTGTCTAGTCCCCAAGGACTGGACCCAATGGAATTGCTCACTTAGGGGAGGGGTATGCACCTGTTTTATCACCAAGTGAGAAGCAACCCATCCTTGAGCTGCAGGAGATGACACTTCCCCTCCAGGGATGGGCAACAAGAATAGAAGGAATCACCTACTCTCTACAACACAATCCTCAGGACCTACTGGGGGAGAGATTAGCAGCTCACCACAAAGGCTGAACAGATGCTACAAAAAATTGGCATCCCTTCCACCCCAGAAAACCTCTCCCAGGCAGTGGTAGCACAAGTCACCTATAACTCTAAGATGGCAAAGGTAAAAGGATTCATTTTTATTCTGATTCTGTCAAACTGTACACCAAAAGTAAGTGACATGATATATTGGGCACATATACTTACAGTTCCTGTTTTCGATATAGTCACCTGGGGACCCTGAGCCTCCCCTCTCCTCCAAGGATACCTCTTATACTGGCAGAGCCTGGCTGCCTCCTTCTAGCCATTTAAGGGACTCTGATAAAAATTATAGCCACTCTGGATACTCTGTTGGCTGGCCTTTATTACCTCATGAATGGTACTTTTTGGCTGAAGAATTTCCTCTATGTATGGTCACTAATGTCACCTCCAGTAACCACAGCCTCAGTGGTATATGAGTCCTACTGGCACTGGGCCTAACCATACTGAAGAGGCTTGTCATCCAGTTTTCATTAATACTGCCAGAACCCTAGGTTCCTCTGTGTTGGGCAGGCACCTTCCTAACCATAATACTCTTGTATATTCTCATCCATGGGTGCCTATAGGAGATGACATAGACTTCACATTGGTCCATCAATCTCTCCATTGTTCTTGTTTCTAACATTACCCTAGAAAATTTGTGATCCATAATCTGATGGTGTTACAATCTAATCAACCTGGAATTATAGTTTGTTTACCTTTTAATTATAGTGGCAACCCTCCCTTATGGAATCCTGGGCTTGCTGAACCTTTGTTACATCTTTCTTCCGGCACCTACTTATATCCCCTTTAAAAAAAATCTTATGGAATTTAGCTATTCCTTTCTTTCCTCATATTGTGAGAATTGGCAGCTATCAGTATATAGATAAGCTCACATGGATTGCAATGAAATCTCTGATCATGTCACAATTTGTACTTCCCATTCATATATTTTGGTCCTCACTAAGCAGGAGCCTATTTTCACTGTTTACAATTCATCCAGACCTCAGTGCCGACCTTTTATGGTCTCAATATTACCTTGCCTACAAATTTCATATGGCTCACTCCATGTATCAATGATATTGCTCAATTAAATATTATTCCTATTATGGTGCTGAGACTAAAGGCTAAAGCCTAGCTCCCCAACAATCATGATTGGGTGGGAGACTGTGCTCTTAAACAAATTACCTTAGCACTTGAAAATCTCAGGCAAAAGCAGTTCTTGGACACTATAGTAGTGACAGCACTGGCACTACTGCAGCCACATCAGCTGTCCCTATAATTCATTCCATCCAAACTGCCCAAACCATGTATGACTATTTTCAAAATGTTACTTCTGAGCTCTTTACTCAAACCTATACCAAGAAGGAAACTTTACAAAGACTTGACACCCTTGAGGCAGCTGTCAGATGCCTCAGCAAACATCAACTAGCTCTTTGGACACATAGTAGGCTCATCTGTGATGCTGGTTACTGTTCCATGTGCATCACTCCAATTCCATTTAATCATTTTGAATCCTGGGGTGAAGTCCAGTGTGTGCTCCATGGTGCCTTTTATGCTGATCTCAAGGGAAAGATTTCCACTCTCCAATGCTGACTACATATCAAGTTATATAAATTTCAACTGGAAGCTTGTAATATTGCTTTAGATCATCTCATTGATATCACCTGCTGGCTAAATCCCAAAAGTTGGGTTGCTGGTCTCAACCTTTGCATTTGAATTCTTATAACTATTGAAATAATTTTCTTTTTCTCTTTCTTGCAGTCCTAAGAGCTCTCTATACACTCTTTCAGCAGATACTACGTGCTGAAGCCATGATGACCTTTCTCCACCAAGCTCAATATTCCTCCTCCCTTAACCCTGTCCCTCTTTCCCAAACTCATGTATAAAAGAAAAGAGGAGGATAAGTGGGAGGATTGATCAGAGGTATGTATGAGATGGATATGCAGAGGTAAGGGACTTTGGGAGCCACATGCCCAAAATCTCCCAGAATGCATGGTTAGAAATTAAAAGATACCCTACAGGGCCATAAGTCCAATTAAGATCAAAATACATTGCCTTCAGGAATAAATGCTCTGGCCTTTGTCCTCCCCATACTCCATTACTCCATTTTAACATACTACCCTGTCCTTCCCCTGTCCCCTTCATGAGTTCTTGCCCAGACATCCTTCTTTTTTCTTTTATCCTTGCTTCCTGCTATCAATAAAAAGCCATAGAGGCTTCAGTTCAGGTCTGTCTTTATGAAACTTTCTTATCTGAGTTAAGGGCAGCCTCTCCGGGCCTTCTTGGTGTTTGAATTGGACATTGACTCTAAGTAATCTTTCATCCCTTTGCACCGTGCCATGGTTGTGAACTATGACAGTAGAAATTTCAGTTCATAGTTGGTTGGCTCCAAGGCAGGGTGGCATAGGAGAGGGGCATTGTGGAGAAGAAAGTTCATGGTGGGCAGAAGGCAGGAAGGCAGCAAAGTAGGGAAGTAGTGAGGAAGCAAGCAACAAGTAACCACAGACTTTCTTGCCCTTAAATTTTATCCAGGATACCTGCCCTTAGGATGGAGTTATGGCTTGTGTTAGATGTCCCCCAAAGCCTCATGTGGATTTAAATTGGGCTTTTTCAGAGGTGACTGGATCTAGAATGTGTGAGGCTGGAATTGATTCATAGCTCAATGCCAGGCTCAAGGGCACTAGGGTTAAAGGGGTGAGTGCTACCCACCCTAAGTAGTCTGAATAAGATAAAAGGGGAAGAAAGACACTGTTAAGTTCTCCCTTGTTGTTTCTGCTACCACGTGGGTGCCATGAACTGTTTCTCCTCAAAATGCCCCTCAGCCATGTGCCATTTTGTCTTGGAGCCAGCTGATTATGGACTAAAACCACTACAAACTGTGAGCTAAATAAACCCTTTCCCCTTTAACTTTGGGAGTCAGGTATTTTGTCTCAGCAATGAGAGAAAAGTAACTAAGACAGGTGGGTAACACTTACTCCCAGAGTGAGGGACCGTTAATCCTACTCAGAACTATGCCAAACCAAAAAGTGGTCTAATTTAATAATCCCACACCCTTGATCCCAGGATCACACACTCCCAGCTACCTCTGAGAAGCTCCACCTATGACCTAGGAGGCTTTTGGGTCAGTGGCCTGCTCTGCACTCTGCAGAGCATCCTTCTTTTCCTACCTTTAATATCTTTAATAAATGTAAAACCTCATTACCTTTTGCATGTTTTCTTGTCCAATTCTCTTTTCAGGATGACAAGAACCTAGAAAGGCCCAGGCAACAATAGTAGATACATGACATCAATAGTAGATACATGACATCACACTTTTGTCAAAACCCATAAAACTTTACAACCCCAAGAGTGAACTTAATGTAAACTATGGGTTTTAGTTAATAATAATGATGTATCAGTATTGATTCAATAATTGTAACAAATGTACAAAACTAATGTAAGATTAATAATAGGAGAATTTGTGGGTACAGGATGGGATGGGAGTTTATGAGATCTCTACTTTCTGTGCCATTTTTCTGTAAAACTAAAACTACTTTAAATATAATAAAGTCTGTTAAGGAAAATGTTAGTTGGGTGTATTTATATGAATGTATTTCTAGGTTATCTTTTCTGTTCCATTGACCTATGTGTCCATCCTTCTGCCAAAACACGTAGTATTGATTCAAGTAATAAATCTTGAAATCAGGGTACCAATTTCTCCCATTATTTTTCAAAATTATTTTAACTATTATATTTCCTTTTCCATTACATATAATTTTAGAATAACCTTGCCTCTAGAAAATCTGCTGAGATTTTGACAGGAATTGTATTAAATCTGTATGTCAGTTTGGGGACAATTTATATATTTACTGTGCTGAATCTTCCAATCCATGTGTCTATATCTCCATTTATTTAGATCTTTGATTATGGGTTTTCATTATGTAAGTCCTGCATATATTTATTAAATTCACACCTAAATATGGCATTGTTTTCTCTCATATTTAGGATTGTCTCTCAAATCAAGAAAACTATAAACTGGCTACAAGGTCAAGGCATTTTAAGATCACTGGAATCTACCTTCTCAGAACAAAGGTGGAATCCTAAATATTTAATACTAGGAAGGCCAGTTAATGATCAGGCAAAACCAATGCCAACCTTGGTGCTAGATGTAGTCCCAGGAGGCCTCCTCTTGTCCCATCAAGTTGCTGTTTTGTTGGGAAGTCCACTGGATACCTAGTAAGAGAGGGTACTGAACTTCCAGTACTCTGGAAGTGAGGGAGCGCTTTAAGCTTTAGATAATGGTAGTTAACAAACCATAACACTGAAAATCCAATATTACCAGAGTATACAAACTCTAAGACTAAAAATATTATTGTAAGTAAAGTGTTTAGCACAAAGCCCAGAACTTAGTAAGTGCTCATTAATGCCTACTACCACTATGATTACTTCCTCCTTTCCCCTTCACCTTCCTCTCCACTGCTACCCTCCTCCTCTTCCCTCTTTTTGTTGCATTATAATTGAATTATACAAAAACAAATATCTGGCCTGCAACATTGAATGTAAAGCTTCTTTTCTGTCTAAATTTTTGGCCCCTCATGAGACTAAAACAAATGTTTTTCTGTCTCTCGATGTCTTAGTAGCTCTTTTATATTCTAGGCCAAAAGAAATAACTGTTTTATTTTTATTTTATTTTTTATTTTTTTGGTATCAGGGATCGAACTTGAAACCTTGCACTTGCGAGGCAGGCAGTGGAACCACTGAGCTAAATCCCCAGCCTGTTTTATTTTTTAAATAGGTAGATTTAAGCAACCAAATAAGTATTTATGTGCTAATAACTTAGCAGCTTCATGGGCAGAACTACACATAAATTAAAAGGCAAAATAATATTTTTCATTTCATTCTTAATTAACAGCAGTTACTTATTAATGGGATGTGTGTACTTGTTGAGCACTGCACAACTTCTCAAACCTTAGAATCAAGTTGGAAAATACCATCCTCATTTCTTGTCTTACATGATTTTGATATAGTACTTGCTCTTTATCATAGCAACCACCAAAATTCCAGTTTTGTGCAGATATGTATCTAGAGGAATGTAGCCTATCAATGTTAAAACTGCCAACTCTCTTGAGGCAGAAGTCTATATAATATGGAAGAGATTTTGCTGTTTCCCTTGAAAATTTAGAATCTGCTTATACCTGTCAGTTGGTTGGAGTGGAACTAAATAGTAATTATTACTTGTGGTCAGCTAAACACTAAGAAGTCATAAGGGATCAAATTTCATATAATATGGCTTTACTTTGGGTTTCAAAAACAAATGGTTCTTCTGGCTGACTTTCAGTAAATCATAGCCTGCCTGTACTTATTTTGTTTGTTAATTTGATTTTTCAAGAGAAATGAGAACCTTTTTAATGAGACAGTTCTTTCATTAAGTTCATATTAGGCGCATTCTCTGCTTGAGCTGAGTTAGGCATTAAGAGGATGTTATATATTGTGTTTGTTTTTATGGAATTAATATTGAATTATCAGTTACCAAACATCATTCTTTTTCCCCTAAAACTAGATTTTAAAGAAAGAATCTCTGTTACATGCTTGAATTTTCTCTATTCCTTCTATATCTACACTTGTGTATGATATTGTCATGTCTCGTGTGGTGGAGAGCAAACGAATATTTCTGATAGAACTAAGGAAATGTAGAACAACAAAAAAGGAATTTTTAAGTAAACTAAGACTATCTTCTCATTTTGTTGATGAGCAAAGATAGTGTAGGGAAAAGGGGTCTGTAAATAGTGAAAGGCCTCAATGGATTCTCTGGCTAATCCTGACTAAAAGAGTTAAAGCTTCACTGGAGAAAACAATTAACAAGACAAGAGTGGAGACAGACAGGCAATGCACAGGAGAATCCAGATGCTCAAACAAAGGCAGCCAGCCTTTACTTATTTCCAATAAAATATAAAAAAGACAAAGGGCAGCCACTTAGAAATATATATATATATATATATATCTTGGTTAATACATATATTGGTATAATATATATCAATACATTAGTGCACTAGCCCCCTTACATAATTGCTAACTCAACCTTGTACATGAGATTCTTTTTTAACAAACCTATAAATTCTAAAGATAAGATTCTGACAGGCTCACTTAAAAATGTGCATATAGATGATGGATGGTGCAGGGAGTTGGGGGTCTTGGGGCCTGGGATCCTTCTATGATAGCCCAGGGAACCAATAAAATTATGACAAATTCCAGGTAGGGGAGGGCCCTGGCACCCATCAAAAACGGCCATAAACCAAGGGCCCTCAGATCCTCTATCTTTTTGGCACTCCCTACTCTGATTTACCAGGGTAGTTATCTCTCCTCCCTTTTCCCCCCTTTCCAATAAAGTGTCCAGTAAAATGTCTTTCCTTCAATGTTGTACCTTTAATGGTTTCATGATATTGACATTTACAAATCTCAGTGAGCTCCTCACCCACTGTGAGCTGCACCAGTGCTCATCCCGCAGACCCGACATTGTATAATACATAGCTGAAGCTTGGTTTTTTAATCCAATGCATCAATTTTTGCCTTATGATTAAATGGTCTAATGCACTTATATTTAATATAATTATTAATGGTTGGATTTATTCCTGTCATTTTTTTTTTCTATATGTCTTGTGTTTAGGTTCCTCTATTCCTTCTTTGCGCCCTTCTTTTCTGTCAAATACATTGTTTATTGTATACTATTTTACTTCCTTTGTTGGTGTTTAGCTCCACCTTTTAAAATTAATTTTTTTAGTGGTTGTTCTGGGTTAATGTAAAACAGCTGGGTTAATGTAAAAGAGCTGAGTTCTAATTAATACTAACAATTTCAGTAGTACTTAGAAATTTTGCTCCAGTATTTTTCTCTTTTGCTCTAGCTTCCTGTGTATTATTATTGTTATACTAATTAAATTTTCGTGTTAAAATCCCTAAATAAATTTTTATGATTACTGTTTTATCTAGTTGTCTTTTAAATATATTTAGAAAAGAATAAAAATATATTTATACTGTTTCTTGTATTTATTTGTTTATCTTTATTGATGCTATTTCTTCATAGAGATGAAAGTTTTTGCCATCTGGTGTCATTTCTTTTCCTTTTTTTTTTTTTTTTTTGTACCAAGGATTGAACTCAGGACCTTGCACTTTTGAGGCAGTCACAGTGCCACTGAGCTAAATTCCCGGCCCATCTGGTGTCATTTCTTTGCAGCCTGAAGGAATTTAGAATTTCTTGTAGGGTGCATATATTAGTGAGAAATTCTTTAGTTGTTGCTTATATTGCAATTTCCTCATCTTGCCTTCATTTTTGAAGGATGGTTTTCTGAATATGTAATTCGTAGTTGCTTCTTTTTTCTTTCAACATTTTGAAAAGATCAGCCCACTGACTTCTGGCCTCAGTTGCTTTTAATAAGAAGATGTAAATCTTACTGAGTATTCCTTAGATGTGGTAATTTTTTTTCTGGATATTTTTAAGACTTTTTATTTTTCTTTCACTTTTGACAGTTTGGCGTTGATGTGCCTAGATGTGGGTTTCTTTATGTTTATCATATTTGGAGTTCCTTGAACTTTTTGACTATGTAGATTGTTTTCCAGCAAATTTGGGACATTTTAAGTCACTATAGCCTTGCTATGATTTGGGAATGGTTTATCCCCCAAAGGTTCATGTGATGGTAGTTTGGTCCCCATGTGGTAGAACCTTTAAGAGACAGCACTTGGTGCAAAGTAATTATGTCATGGGGGAGCTCCCCTTAGAAGGGATTAATGTAGGTTTTATGAGAATCCAGTTAGTTCTCATGAGAGTGCATTGTTATAAAAGAGCAAGAGCAGCCTTTTCCTGCTGTCTTCCTGTTTTGCTATACCATCTTTCCCTTCTGAATGCAGCCATTTCCCTTTCTGCTCTTCTGCCATATTGTGATATAGAAAAGTGAGCCTCCCTAGAGGTAGTCAATGAGACTACCTGATCTTGGGTTTTCAGCTTACCAATTGAGATAAATAAACCTCTTTGATTTATGAAGTTCTCAGCTTCAGGTATTTTGTTGTAGTATGGAAAAACAAAGTGATACAATCTTAAATAGGTTTTTTTCCCCCTTGCTTCCTCTGTCCTTCTGGGATTTTTATTTTGCATATGTGTGTATGCCAATAGTACACTACAGGTCTCTGAGACTCTGTTTAGTATTCAAATTCCTTTATTTTTTCTTTTGATTACTTAAATTGCAAAATCTCTATCAACCTACCCATCCTTTAGTTTACTGATTCCTTCTTCCTTCAGCCCAAATTTGCCGGTTCCTTCAGCAAAATTTGTATTTGTTATCATATTTTTAATTTCAGAGTTTTTATTTAGTTTTTTTTCTGTAATTTCTCTCTCTCTCATTTTTGATATTGTCTATTTGGTGAAGGACTGTTTTCATATTCTTATTTAGTTCTTTAAAAATTGTCTCCTTTCGGGCCGGGGATTTAGCTCAGTGGTTTCGCTGCCTGCTGCGCAAGCGCAAGGACCCGAGTTCAATCCCTGGTACCAAAGAAAAAAAAGTTGTTTCCTGTAATTCTTCAAACATATTCATAATAGCTGATTTAAAGTTTTTTGTCTATTAAGTCCAAGGTCTGGGTCCCTTAGTATGAGCCGTATGTCCTATTTCTTTGCATGCCTCAATTTTTTGCTAAAAACTTTACTTATTATATTTTTTAAACAACTCTAAAATTGAATCTCCCTATCCACCCGAAGGTTTGTTATTGTTTGAGGGCTAGGATTCCTAAGCTAATTCCATACAGTATGAATTCCCTGCAGTGGGGTGCCATTATCTCATTTTTTAAAAAGCTTATTGTTTTATACTTGAAAGCCTATTTTCCCATGGATTGCCTCCGTGTCTGCATAGCTCACTAGTCAGACAATGATTGGGTAAAAGATTTACTTAAGGGCTGGGGATTTAACTCAGTGGTGCCCCTGCCTGCCTCGAAAGTGCAAGGTCCTGAGTTTGATCCCCCGGTACCAAAAAAAAAAAAAAAAAAAAAAAAGAATATATATTTAACTGACTTGAATAAGTACATCTTCTGCACTTTGCTAAAGGGATCTGTTTGATGGCTTGCACATGGCTTCAGTTTGACAGTTTCCAAGTCTTAGGCTTTTCTTCCCGCTTGTACTGGGTCTTATAAAGCTAGTCAAGACTCAATAAAGCTCCTTCAAATTTTGGAAGAGATCCCCTTTCCCATTGGCCAAGTAGCCTAAATGGGGACCCAAAAATGAAAGCATAGGAAGGGGGAGAAGATGACCAAGAAGAGAAGGCTAGGACTACAGCAAGGCCGGCGCAGGCCCTCAGTGGACATTGGCAGGGGCTGGGTGTGTTTGCGTGCGTGACTCAGAACCCGCTCCCTTTCTCCCGTGG